CCTTAGTCTCCTTAGTCTCCTTAGTCCCCTTAGTCCCCTTAGTCTCCTTAGTCTCCTTAGTCCCCTTAGTCCCCTTAGTTCCTTATTTCAATTTGAAATCAAGTGCTCTTTTTCTGTTTAAATTCAGATTGAAATTAAATAACCCATAGTATGGGAAGAATAGGTATATGTAAACCTTCCTGGATGCTCGAAAACGCATAGAAACGAATTTTCAAGTTGGTTCTTGTTCCTTAGGATGTGAGTGTGGGTGTAGAGGCGATCAGTTTACGTGTACAAAAATTTAATAAATCCAAAATTTAAATTGGATTTGCATAAATTTATTTAAATCAAGTTTAAATCAATATAAATTCAATTTAAATCCATTTGCATTAACTCATATGGGATTTAAATTGAATTTTATTTAGTTTAAATTGAATTTATATTGATTTAAACTGGATTTAAATAAATTTAAATAATTTAGATTTAAAATAAATTAAGAGCAAATCACCATCTTTACAAATATGAAAGGTTATCGTATAGCTCGAGCTGAAACCTATTTTATGAAGAACGATTCATGCTCATTGATTGTGTTCGCTCCGCAAGAAGCCTTCATTATCGGTGTTTTTAATTGCTGTTGACGCACAGTGATTCATGACTGTTTTGACATGTTGTTGACGACATTGCTTTCTTTTTTTTCTTCCTGACAAATGAAAAAATCACGGTACTATGAAGAGTCTTTAATAGATTTGTCACTATATAAAAGAATTACTATTGCTGGCAGGGTCTCATTCAAAAAGAAAACGTCTCGACAAATAACAACAAATTACTATTCATTTTCATTCAGCAATGGCACATTCAATCTCTCATGAATCTGTTATTGATCGGGCTGCGTTCGAGGCATACACACAACTTCGAGCAATAGCTAAAAAATATAAAGTCGAAAACGAACTCGAGGTGCCTCAATTGGTAATTGTTGGCGAAACATCGACGGGCAAGTCGATGTTAGTTCAAAATTTTCTTCGATTTCCATGTTCGTTCTCACAAGCTGATGTTGCCACACGTTGTCCAGTTGCTTATCGACTCGTCTATAATCCGACTTTGCCCCTTGGTGAACTTCGTATTATTCGACCAACTGGTATCACTGCTTCTCAACTGGCGAATTATTTACAACAATTAATGAAACATATTCAAGAAGAATATGCCACAACGGGAGGTTTTCGTCAAGAACCAGAATGGATTGAGATCGAAAGTGCTGAATATACGGATTTCGAAATTATTGATATACCAGGTCTAGTTGGTGGTGATAAAATTGCTGTGAATCGACAAGCAGTAGAAAAGATTGCGGAATCATTCGTACGAAATCCTCGTTTCTCGATTGTCCTGGTGAAAGAAACTACACAGGTTACTGATAATAGTCATGGAGCACGTGTTATCCACGATATCTGTACGAAACCAAATGGTATCGATACTACACTACCACCAAGACATGATTACCGTCAAAATATGATCACTGTACACACCAAATTTGATTCGTTCATGTTAAATTTTACAAATGGAACAGCAGTCAATAAAAATGTTGCCAAGCAATTACAAGATTTTGGCCCATCTTTCTTCACAAATATGATCTTTGGTGGATATTCAATGACAGAACGATCCTTCGATGAAAATGTCAAATATCTTCGTGAGTTACCACATCAAGAACAACAAGAAGTCGACAAATGGATCGAAGATATCAATCGAAAGAGCGGTCAACCTCCAGATAATTATCAACCTTTCGATGTTCAATATCGCGCACGCATTGGCATCGATGTAGTACGAAATCAAATTCAAACCCTTTGGCTCAAGGTAAACCATCACAGACGAGTAGTGAATTCTAACTGCAAGCTTATCACAGAAACTAAACGATAGTGTGACACTACATTGAAAACAGATCTTTCAAAATGAGTGTGGTTTATTTCTTGCAGATGTATCCCATACTGAATATGAAACTTGTGATATTTCGATCAATGAAGGCGTAACCCAGTCATGAGTGAAGCACTGATGTCGCTTTCTGATATCACTTCTTTGTAGTACCTATTTGAAACTAAATCTATAACATAACACTTACAATAGAAATATATATTTTGTTTGACCCGATTTCTCTATACATGAGTGATGAGTAAGATGCTGGAAATTTGAAATTTCAACAAATTTTTGTTTTTCTCCCTGAAAATGTTAGGAAAACACTAAATTCTAAATATCATGATTAGAGTCGTCCATTATCACACATATGTAAATATTTTGTTTTTCTCACCTTGTAGAACATGTTAGTACAGCTCCTTTGAGACCGTAATGTGAAACTCACATAAGCTCTTTAGCTTCGTTAAACTAATACAAAATACATAAAGTGAAAACCCTCGTAGGCTCTAGTTGTTTTCTATGACGGTTGATCGTCGCAATTGGAACCTTTGAATTATTTCCACATTTCAAGCAGAAATTCTTTTTTTTGAAGGGGGAGGGTTGCTATAGTCTGTAATGTGTACGGTGGGGATGCTGAGTCGCAAAACTTTGACTTAAAACTTACATTCACTATTTTCTTCGAAAATATATATGAGTTTCACAAAATTAACCAAAAAGACATATCTAAATATGTTTCTTCTGGTTAATTTCTTCTACAGAATTTGGGAAATAGTTGCTAACATGTTCTGCAAGGGGAAGAAAAAAGAAAACATTTACATATGTGTGATAATGGACGACTCTAATCATGATATGTAGAATTTAGTGTTTTCCCAATATTTCCAAGAAAAATTTTTGGACAAAAACTCAAAAACTAATTGTTCATGGGTAACTCGATGTGTTCTATTCGGCTACACTAAATCGAGAACAAAAATTTGCTGAAATTTTGATTTTTTGGCGCCTTGCAACAGATGTGTTTGGATATAATCAGTATTAAGAGAGTCGAACATTTTTTAGATCAAAGCCAGTGTAAACCTTTTTTGGTCTAACGTGCATAATGACCTTGCTGTTTGCGACCAATTCTGATTAGAAAAATATGGAATTCGAAAAATCGATATAGTTTTTTGAGTCATATTTCCAGCAACGTTTTGCAATACTTTTGGAATCGCCAAGCAGTCATGCTGGTAGTACTTGTTTAAAATGACGTTCTTCAAGGCGAAAAAAACGAGAATTTTATAGAGAAAAATAAATGCCTCAAGATTTTTTTTCGTCGACGACTAGATATGCACTCAGAATTCATTGTAGAGAAAACAGTTTTCTACAAAATAAGAGATGAACGAGATTTGTACGACTTGTAATTCAGCTTTTATTAGATTTTTAAGGAGAGTCTTGACCAAGACCGAGCCTGGAATTTTCGGTTCTTATTCGTGATCAGAGTTGTCTGTAGAATTGCAATAAAAGCGGAACTCTACATTGTACAAACCTCGTCAATGCCTTATCTTGTAGACAACTATTTGCTCTACAACTTTGCATGCTTAAATAAAGTCTGCTAGGTTCTTCTTCTTGGATGTCCTCCTTTTTTCCACAAAAAATAGATAGACCCTAATTTTGATTCTCGATGTATGCCTATGGACGACGCTGATTGAGCTGTAGTTTTTTCGTGAAAGAAATTGTTTGACACTTGACTTTGGCAAACAAGTCACTTAGTTTCTTCAAATTCGCACAATGATAGAGAATTCTAACTATCTTTTGTTCTACATGAAAGAAAAAAGAATTGCTCGTCATTTCTTGAACCCTTTTCACATTTCGTATGTATCAAAATCAAATAGTGTTATTTTGATTCACTATAGTCTTTCCGTGCTGCTCTGCCAAAATTGAAAACGACAATTGATGAACAACTCGAAGAGGCACGACGCAAGTACGATAGTGAACAAGAATGCTACAAATTGCTTGATCCCAAATCATTACAAGAGAATTATCTTCAATATTTGAACGATTTTCGAACTACTCTTTGTCAATATGTTGGTTACAAATCCGAAATAGATTTCATCTTTCCACTTGAACGATGTGGTCAGACATACGAGGAGATTGAAGCTGACTACAGTGAATGGAAGCGAAAGAAACAGGTGACATGGCGTGCTTATTTAACAGCAAACGAATTGAAAGAACGATTTCCGGAAGAACATGAAACTCTCAATCTACGTCTTGTTGGTTCTCGTCATTTTACACGACTTCACAACATATTTTCATACATGATTTTACACTTTAAACCACGTGAACCTACACGAGATTGGATTGAAACAGCTGCAGCACATTTAGCCGCCAATACAAGCGACTATGACGATATGGAAAAAGCAGTTCGGGATGTTCTTCGCACTCTTCTACGTGAAACTTTCCTCTTAGGCAGTTGTTGGCTCACTCAAATGTATTCATATATATTGGATATGTTCAGAATTAATGTCAAACGATATCTTCTTAGTAATGAAAAATATCCGCTCTTACGCGATCATGATCAATTTTTAAATGCTGTCGATCTTGAATATCACATTGTCGTACGATCAATGATTCACGATGCCATACGTTTGATTCGTTATGCACGTAATTCTATTAGTGCCTATTCACATTATGATATTACTGCACGCATGTTAAAATTGGTCTTTTCTATTCCAAAAGAGATCAAACATGAGAAATTTAATCAACCTATCGACGGTGTCTTTGTTCATAATACAATAAACAATACGTATATGAAAGCAACTCTTGCCGATATTTTCAAATCCATTCCACCAGAAAAACTTCTTGAGCAAATCTACGGTTCCGAATCATTTTTAACGAACAAACGAGATCCACATACAGGAAGTCATCATTTGAATGGGCGTCGCGCTATTCAAGAACTTTATACAGCCAGTTGTGGTCGATTGTTGGAAGATATTCGATCAAGTTTTAATACAAGTGTTGTTATGAAAATTCACAATTTTGATCGAATCGATACTAAATGGTTCAAAGAAAAATCAAGTCGATGTCCTTTATCCTTACGTATTAGTCGTATGACCGAACAACAAATTAGTGAAATGTCCAATATGCGTTTGGATGAAATAAACGAAGCATGTCATAAATCAATAGAAAAGATCGAAGCTTTAACTGATGCTTTGACATTTATCGATGCGGCTATCAGGGAGATGAACGATGTACAACGGCTAAAAGGTGTTCAACGTCGAGTGCAGACGGAATATATCAATAAAGAAAGCTTGAGGCATGGAGATTACTTACGCAAGAAACAAGAAGTTGTTGAGACGCACCTTCGGCGACAATTTCACTCTCAAAATTCCTATACTCGTTCGACTGGAGAATCAAATGAAATCGAAAATGATAATATGCATGATGATGAATATAAACTTATGACAATTCATAATCCAACATTAGCAAATATTTTTCTAAGTGAAATCTATGATAAACATGATCGAGAAGATCTAACCTTTGGTTTTCTCGATGGTGACTCACTCGAACAAGATAAGAATTATTCACATGCACATGATCATTTGAGCGTTGATCCAAACACAATGAACTATGACAATATTTCAGTACCTTCTACATGTACGTAAATCTCATCGGATCGTCTTTTTTATGTTATTTTCTTGTGTAAATAGTTAATAGTGATCGTCAATATGAGATGATCAACAACGATGGCTATGTAAATGTAGCATCCGGTTACGGCATGCAAACAAGTCCTAGACCTACACAGACACTTTCACAACCAATATATCAAGCTAGTGTTCCAGATGGAATTTCTATGAATGATGATGCAAATAGTATGGTTAAACGAAATCGTATTCAACTAGCAAAAAGATAAATAGCAAAGTGCATTTCAGCACAGGAAAAAAAATAAACAGAGAAAAAACTCCTAATTGTAGTTCATAGCAAAAAATGACATTTGTGGAAATAGAGTTTGAGTTCAGATCACCTCAAGAAAGAAATTCGAGCCAAAAATTCTAAATATCAAATCATTAGCCGATAGTGAGAAAGTCTCTTGAAGACAGATGAGCGATTATAGATTAGGAGCAATATTTTAAACTCTTACAAGTTTAATATCTGGTTTTTGTTTGAGAATAGTGAACGAATCTTAGAAAATAGGGTTTCGCGAAGGCCTTGAGAATTGTCAGACTCAGCCGCTGTGCAGAGGAAACAATTCCATAAAAAAAATTGATATAGGATGAAACTTTAGATTTATCCAACTGAGATCATACACATTTTCTCAACAGTTATTATCTTTCTAGAAGATCTTTTGATTAAAAAGTGGATTCCTTAAAAAAAGTGAGATGTCTCAACAAAGAATTAAAGAAAACTGAAAGTGTACGCTTTGTAAGCTTGTAAGAGAAAAAATTATCATCTAAAGTCAATTTTCAAGTCTTTCAAAGGTTTATTCGCTACTTTTAAACAAAAAAATGTACAACATGATTCAGTGCACTTTCAACCATGCATTATGGCAATAAACTCTTTTACTCATACGGTTTATTGCTCATTTGATGGAGATTGCTGACACTCAGCTGGTCTATGTTTGCATTTCAATTCCTATTTCTCACCAGCACGTCTTTATACATTGAACAAGCACGTGTTTTTCTCTCTCTATTTATCGATCACCTAGCATAAAAAGGTTTCATTATAATAAGTATCTTATGCCATAAAGAGAATGTTTTTTCATTTTTCCATCGGATCACTTTTATTCGACTTCTTTGTTTACCTATTTGTTCTTTGAAATTTTGCCGAAAAAAAGACTAGCTCCTTAGTATGATATTTGATTACTATTAGAACAAACTATCAAAGAAATGAATGATTTCTTATTTAGGCGATAGTTTATCGGACAAGATGGACCCTACATCGATAAATACATACAACACGAACCAAGCAATGGGCAAAGAAAGTTATGGGTATAGTCTGTTTCGATCTCGAAAGAAACGGACCTAACCCGATTGCTGCTGCTTCAGAACTTCAAGCTTTTCTACGTATGATAACTACGTAGGACATTTTTCAATTGCTTCATTTTATTACTAATTTCTAACCAATGCTAAAGATGGAATTTTTTCTTAAATCAATATAATATTTTTTGGCATTCCTACTTCAAATCACGGTATTGAAAGTAATGATTTTACTATTTAATGCAAATGTTCATGATGAAACAGGTACCTACTCAAGAATAGGAGCAAACATGCGCATATGATAGTTTTTCATATTGAGTGTGGGTGTGGGTGTGGATGTGGGTGTGGGTGTGGGTGGGTGTGGGTGGGTGTGGGTGGGTGTGGGTGCGTGGGTGTGGGTGGGTGTGGGTGTGTGGATGTGTGGGTGTGTGGGTGTGGGTTTGTGGGTGCGGGTGTTTGGGTGTGGGTGTGGGTGTGGGTGTGGGTGTTGATCTTCTTGTCACGCACACCCACACCCACTCACCCATATCCACACCCACCTACACCCAGGGCCACAACCACACCCACAGTCACAACCACACCCACACCCACACCCACTCCCAATAAAGGGTGTCACATAATAAGTGATGATAAATTGTTTATGATATTGTTCATACTTTTTTTGATGTAGAAGGCTGAAATTTTTGTCACACATATATCTAATCAAGATCTTTTATTTCTGAAAGTTTCAGCTGTCTAGCCATAGCTACTGGTAAAATACATCAACAAGATAGAAATACATAAATTTCGGCACTGGATTTTTGAGCTATTTTGACAAAATAATGAAAAAATCGAGCACTGAAATTTATGTATTTCAATCCTATCGATGTATTTCATCAGTAGTGATGGCTAGAAAGTTAAAACTTTTAGAAATAAAAGATCTTGATTAGATATATGTGTGACAAAAATTTCAGCCTTCCACGTGAAAAAAAAAGTATGAAAAACATCATAAACAATTTATCATCATTTATTATGTGACACCCTTTCTTGTTGGTCGATTTCGAAAATATTGTCATTACATTTTCAGGTTTGTATTTTTATTATTAGAAGAGAAGATATCATTGAATTGTATGTCATTTGAAAGACCGTCACGGAGTACTGACTGAAAGCTCATATAAAATACATTCAGTTACAGATTATTCTTTATCTGCAAGTAAACTAATTTTATCGTGTCTCAAAACTTCGGAAACATCCTGTAAGTTCCGATCGATTTCGACAAAGTCTTTATGAATGATTAAAGCGACTCCATCGTGTCTCATATTTTAGTTCTGTACGAATTGTAATGAACGCTTTTAGTACGAAATGAATACTATATAATTTATATATACAATAGATAGTTCTTTTTGTATTGATAATAGAGAAATATTCAACAAGATTAATTAGATTTACAATTGTACAATCAATATAAGATTACTCCAGATCGATAGAGATATCATAAGTTTGAATTTCTTCAGATGCAATACAGTTTTCATTTCCACGTCTCAGTCGAGAACGACGTCAGTATTGAAATAGCAACTAAATTTTTTTCACTAGGACATGTTTTACTTGATGCTGATAACGTGATGATATTACCATGACAATCTAAAAGTTAGCCTAACTGAATACGAATGCAACATCATTGAGAGGAAAATCAAATGATGTGTTGTATGGGTACGAGTGTGGGGTGCGGGGTGCAGATGTGGGTGTGGGTTTTGTTGAAGAGAAGATCTACACCCACATCCCACACCCATACTCACACACCCCACCCCACCCCACCCGCGTCCACATCCCACTCACACCCACCACACATCACACATCACACACCCTTAAGTATTCTTTAAAACTAATTCAGACCTATGAGAGATTATCTACAAATCACAAAAGTGTGTTATTGGTTGTAACTGGAGATAATTTTAGTGTTGGAGACTCGTTTAGCTTTTGTGAAGGTGTTTTAGAAGCGGTGTAGCCGCGGGTCGATATGATTGTGGATATGTCTCTTGGGGTGTGTAATTCATCTTCATGATTAGTCACACTAACACATCCGCATCCTTTGTAGTTGTCAAAACAAAAAGATTATCTTCTACCACTTTCATTTCAAGCCCACTATAATTCTTTTGTTTCGAATGAAAATTACTCGTATGAGAACATGAGAAAAGTAGTTCAATGTTCCCTCGTGATCTGATCTTAATTGACTGGTACCATGATTTCATAATTTGTTCACTTAGTTCCATCATTTTGTAGACAAACCTATTTGCATCTTGATTTATTAATAATTTTGTGTCTTATTATTTTTGTTGCTATTTATATTTGTTTTTCGTGCGTTTTGATTTTTCTGTACTCTCGGAATTACTTTTGGTATTATATTCTAAAGTATTGAAAAATTGGTTGTACGACGTTTGCGCGCGTGACATTTGCGCGGCGACACTTGCGCGCAACGACACTTTCGCGCATGTCACTAGCGCGTGCGACACTTCCACGCAAAATAAGATAGTTTATTTTTCCTGCGTTAAGTTGAAAGATCTTCTAAATTTTCATTAACTTTTCTATAGGTGTAGATGGGGAATAGATGTGGGGGAGCGTATGGCCACGGGTGCGGGACGTTGACGCGTAGTGAGAGTTGAACAGCTCGCTAGAAGTTCGGAACTGATGAACCGTTCATTGAAGCGATCTGATCTACTCGAATAGTTCAGCTCAGATTACATGAACGGTTCAAAGACCGCTTCCGGCCTAAGGTGAACTGTTCAAGTAGTTCAGCTCAAATGGAGACTTGACTCATGAAATCATCTAATGGACTTCGCCTTTTGAAAGAAACAAATTCTGCATGGAAAACCAGAAAGCTAACACCGACATCTGCAACGCTAGAGACATCATCTGGGTTTGTAGGGGTACTACTTTGGATGCTAGATGCATCACCTGGATGTTGGAGGTATCGCTGAGTTGGCTAGGGTGTAAGCTCAGATGCCACAAGTATCACTTGGGTTATTAGCATCATTTCGGGTGATGCCAATATAATCCCAGGTAATGATACTACCATTCTGGTGATTCATCTAGCATTCCAATTATTGGTGTTAGCATATTAGCTTTCCAAAGAAAAATAGCCTTTGAGAACAGGTGAGATCCATGAGTTCGTTTTCTGAATCAGATTTTGATCAGTAGATGTGAAGCGAGGGTGTGGGTATAGGTTTTGACCTGGATCTGAGTTTCAAGTGTAGTTTCTGAAGTGGACTTGAATATTGAACTGTGGTTCTGGGCAGCAGGGTCTCTGTTCTCTTGATTCCGTTTCGACCCCACACCGAAACGCTGCAGCCACCAGTGCGGAAGTTAAAATGAGGCGAAACAGTGGTAACTCCATTCAACGTACTGAGTGGAAACAGCTGAATCAGCAATAATCTATTTCAGCTCTGACACTGATAGTCACACTAAAAGAACCGTTAATGAAACTTTAGAAGATGTATTAATTTAACACAGAAAAAAACAAACTATCTCATTTTGCGCGACAAGGTCGCGCGCGCTAATGTCATGCGCGGAAATGTCGTTGCGCGCAAGAGTCGGCACGCAAATGTCGTGCCACGGAAAAATTAAATTTATTTTCTAACTTATTACGGAAACAAAAACTAGAATAAGAAATTTCTGAAGTATTATTTTGAATATATTTATGTTAAAGAATGTTGACAATCATTTTCATCAGGAGTAATTAGACCCATCGGTAATTTACTCTGCTGCTCCTATAGTGTACGATGCATTACGCGGTGTACGTGTGGCGACATGATACGTACGCGCCGCCTTCCATTATGTTCCTCATGCACATCGCAAGTGATTTACGAACGGCATATGACATATAGCAACACGCATACATTGGCTATTCTTAATGATATAGGGCTGTCTTATGTGTATGGCTCGACATTTTAACCAATCATTT